TTAGGGGTGTGTGGCCTAACATGCCAAAAGCCCTGGGTTTTGACAACAAACAAGGTAAAGAGAATAAGAAGCAAAAGGTGGGTGTGGCTGGATGACCACACTTCTGGTAACATGGGGTGTGTGGCCTAATATGCAAATGAGCTGTGCTGCCAGGGGTGTGGCCTAATATGCTAATGAATACCTGCTGTTGGCTATGGCCTATTATGCTAATGAGTTCCTGCTGGGCTTTTTCTACAAAAAAAGCCCTGATGTATACTAAATCTACTGATTTTTAACAAGTGGCGAAGAATTCCCACCAATTAGTACATAGAAAGTGCCTGTTCGTAGCACAGGCGAATAGTAGTGGGGGGTGGTCTAATGTGTCCGCCGCCTCAACTGAAGACCTGTTAGAACAGCTGTGTTTTACAGGCCCTGCGGAATTGTTGTAAGTCCCACAGGACCCTGATCTCAGTTGGGAGGCTGTTCCACCAGGCTAAGTCGAGGCTAAGTGGACATCCTTTGGACCAGGGATCACCAGTAGATGTTGATCTGAAGAATGTAAAGCTGTTTGGGGGATATAGCGGGAGAGACGGTCCTGCAGATATGATGGTCCCAGACCACACAGGGCTTTAAAGGTCCATACCAGGACCTTGAACTTGATCCGGTACTCAACTGGGAGCCAATGCAGCTGGTGGAGCACAGGCTGTAGATGTGCTTGCCCTGAGGTGCCAGTAAGGACACGCGCAGCTACATTCTGAACCAACTGGAGTTTCTGCATCAGTCTCCAAGGGTAGCCCTGCATAAAGCAAGTTATAGTAGTCCAGCCTGGAGGTGGCCAATGCATGGGTCACTGTGACTAAGTCACAGTGGGAGAGATAGGGGGCCAATTGCCTGACCCACCGGAGATGGTAAAAGGCTGATCTGTGTCATCACCTGGGCCTCCGTTGAAAGTGAGGCATCCAGGATCACACCCGGACTCTTTACCATTGACACTGGCACTAACAGTGCCCTGTCAAGGGTGGTGTTGGGTATTTGCATGTTGAAAACACTCAATGTGTGTGTATGGGGTTAAATGTCTGTTTTGTTGTCACAGGAAATCACCTGCCTTTGTGTTAGCCAATGTTAGCTTAGACCTGCCAGCCTGCGAAAAGCATCCCTGTTCTGAGAGTTTGATTGGGAGCAAAGTGTTAGTGTCTTTGCATTTTATGGCCTCTCTTCCCCTCTTTGTTCGTCTTGGAGAAGAAGCATGTTACAGAGGCCATTGCGGTTTTTTCTAGTCTTGTACTTAGAGTGAGAGGATGTAGCTTATATAGCTCTGTTGTTATTTTCTCCCAGTTACCCTTCCCTATGGTAGAATTGTAGTAAACTTTTATATTTTTAAACACACATGGACTCTGGGTCTGATTATTGAACTCTGGCCTTGCTAAGCTGTTTTATTCTCTGCTGAATTTTATAAAAACTCCAACAGGTGGGTAGCCTGATCTCCAGTTCCCCTGCAGCTCAGGCACAGGACCTCCATCTTAAATGGATTTCATTTCAGTTTCAGTTAAACAGTGCCCTAGCCAGAACCTCTGGGGCGGTACCTAGGCGGTCAACCTTCAGCAGATATCTGGGTGTCATCAGCAGACTGATGACAGCCCAGCCCGAACCTCCGGATCAGCTGTGTGAGAGGGCGCATGTAGATGTTGAATAATATAGGGGAGAGGATCGCCCCCTGGGAGACGCCGCCTACCAAAGGGTAACGTGGTGAAATTCTCTCCCCAAGCCCCACTCTGTCCCTGACCATGGAGAAAAGAGATAAGCCATTGCAAGGCAATCCCTCGTATCCTCACATCGGTGAGGTGGTGGGTCAGAAGATCATAATCGACCATGTGAAACACTGTTGTTAAGTAACAAGAGCAGCTCTGACCTACCTTGATCCAGGTGTTTCTGGAGATCATCCATGAGGGTGACCAGCAGTGCTCCCTCTAAGCTGTGGACTCTTGTGAGCAAAACATCTACTTTGTGAGCTCCTGGCATTAAAGTTGTGAGCGAGCCATTTGGCTACTGCGTGAATCGGTTTCCTCTGGAGCCCTCCTTCCCAAGACAAAAATGTGTGAGCCAGAGGCTCAAAAACTGTGAGCTAGCTCACACTAACTCAGCTTAGAGGGAACACTGGTGACCAGTGTCGTCTCTATCCCATAGCCAGGGCTGAAGCCTGACTGAAATGGATCATAGCGTTTCTGGGTAAGGTAGTTGAGACTGTGGAACAGCTCCAGGCTTTCCTGGATGATGTCTCTATCCTAGATCCATTTCAGTCTGGTTCGGCACTGGCTGGTAGTTGGCTGGATCAATAGGATCTAAAATTGGTTTCTTCAAGAGCGGTCTCACCACTGCCACCTTAAAGATCCTGGGAATATCCCTGAACTCAAGGACAAGTTGATAATATTTCCCGGGGGGACCTGTATACCATTACTGCTGGCCTTAACCAGCCATGAAGGACACAGGTCTAGGAGGCAAGTGGTGGGCTGTCAACCTCATCCAGAGAGAGTCAACTGAACTGGTCCAATATTGGACCTGATGATGGCCAAGGAGTCTCCAGGTCACGTACTATATCAAGGGTGGCCGGCAAGTCCTGGTGGAATGACAAGATTTTATCTGTAAGGTAACTTGCAAAAGCCTCACAGCTAATGGCCAGTTTACTATCTTTTGTGGGAGAGAAGTTAAAGATCTAATTATTTTAAATCATTGAGCAGGGTGAGAGCTTGTGGACCCAATGGAGGCTATGTAGAATTCTGAAAACCAGTTGGATTCATCTGGCTCCACGGGTGAGCATAGGTTAGCTCACTGGCTAAACAGGGCGGGGTTGGGACACTCAGTCAGGCCTTCAGGACAAAGTGGTCTGACCAGGGCACTGCTTCAATATCATCCAGATCCACATTTCTCCTCATCCCCCAAATCAGATCCAACATGTGGTCTGCTGCTCGGTGTGTGGGAGCTGATATAAACTGAGAGAGTCCCAGTGTTGCCATGGATGACACTAGGTCTGCAGCCTGTGAGGAGGCGGCATCATCGGCACGGACGTTGAAGTCTCCCAGTACTAAAAGTCTGGGGAACTCCAAGGCCCAGCTCATTACAGCCTCCAGCAGGCTTGGCAGGGTATATGCTGGGGCATTAGGCAATCGGTACACCAGCCAGATAGCCAAACTCCCTTCAGCCTCCCAGGCCAGGCCCACACAATCAATGCTGCCCTGAACCAGCTTCGGTGGGGAGGGCAGGGTATAAATCAAATAAATGCTGGAGATTGTTGGTACAGGGAGTGTCCTGACTATCGCCACCCCACCCCAATTCTCATTTGTCGGGAATTGATGAAGGACCGAGATACCTAGAGGGGCAAGTTGTGACAGGGCAAAGGTGGGATATAAATTAAATAAATAAATAAATAACTGAGCTAGTGTTTGAAAGGGCGACCTCCAAGGAATACCAGGGTTGTGATGGAGAGGCAGGCAATGGCAAACCACCTCCGAAACATCTCTTGCCTTAAAAACAAGTCTAGCTTGCCACCTAGTGGTGCGTAATGCTAAAACAGCTAGAACTTCTGGCTGCCAGACAACCTTACTGGGTAGCCATTTCCAAGATAGCTACCTTGGAAAAATGCATCCGTCAATCTCTGTTCACAGATAAGATAGTTGGTTTCTGGCCTGACCCTAAGTGTCCTCTTTGTGGTTGTGAACTAGCCGTCCAGCTAACATGGATGGCCACCAGCTCTCTCTGCCTGATCATTTGCCAGACAGCGTCTGCTTGGCTCTGTACAGAAATTCTAATAAAGATGGTGTTGCTTTGTGGCCACATTGGGAGGGGGCATTTCCCCCTGCAGGATCCCAAAACAATTCTTTTTTAACATACACAAGAAGCTGGAGAACCATCCTCTCCTGGCCACATTATGTTAACAATGAAAATATATTCCAAACTGGGTGGTCCAGATAGATCATTTCAGTCAATGTCTGTGTCAATTCAAATAGATTCAGGGGGTTTGTGTAGGTTTGGCCAGTGGGGGAAGCCCCACCCCCAAATAGCAGCATTCCACAGGGATGCGGCCAGTGCAATGATGTCACTGGTAGCCGGCAGTGATGCTCTAGCATTGGGGGGGGGGGACTTACCATAGAGTTTCCCCTGAATGCTAGTGTTGCTCGACAACACCCCTAGTGTGATGACATCACTACCGGTGGTGTCATCACACGTTTGTGAGCAGGGCAAGAGAGTCTTGGTGAGGAGCCAGGAGACCCACCCCGCTGCAGGAGAGGTGGGACCTGGCAACCCTAGATTTGTGTGTTGGTCTGAAGCAACAGAACAAAGTTTATGGAGGCCAGTCAGGCACCTTTAAGACCAAGGAAGTTTAATTCCTGGTAGCTTTTGTGGGCATGCACACTTCCTCAGATATCTCAGGATATCTCAGATATCTGGGGAAGTGTGCATGCACAAGAAAACTTATACCTGGAATTAAACTTTGTTGGGCTTAAAGGCATCACTGGACTTAAACTTTGTTCTGTATTCTGAGGCGAACGCGCTTTCAATGCACTTTGCAACTGGATTTTACTATGTGGAATGGCAAAATCCACTTGCAAAGGGTCATTAAAGTGGGTTGAAACTGCATTACTTAGCATGTGTGGAATAGAAAATTGTGTAGTAGTACATCTTCCCAGCTCCGTTCTCACGTGACCTTGGCCTTCAGCGGCGCCCAGCCCGATCCTAACACAATGGCGGGAAAGAAACGTGGGGACAGCTCGCCGCATATCGCGAGGCGCCCCAGAGAGCTTTCCGAACAAGCCACGGCTGAATTCACCCCGCTGATTGGTTGAGAGTCGGGTTCTACTTCAGGCATCGGATCTAGCCAATGGGCGGGCGAGTCTGAACCTCTGGATCCCGCCTCCTGTCTCGTTCCCTTTCCTCCTGGAGGAGGCGGTTGGTTGCCTTCTGACGTCCCGCGTTCATTTGCATTTCCCCGCCCGTTCGGAGCGCTGGTGACGTCAGCCCGGGTTCTGCAGGCAGGCGGACAGGTGCTGTTGCCTCGCGCGCTGCGGCTGCCTTTGCTGCGAGACCAGGAGCGCGTCCCCGAGGTCGGTGCGCGCGGGGCCCGGGGG